TTCATTTAGGCTACCAATATTTCTCGAGGAACAACCAAAACAGAAAAAGATCCTGTGAGAATGGCACTATTATTCTAGTGAGAATAGAGAAACCAGACTGCAAGTAAGTACACACTACTAGCATGTCAGATGGTAATACATGAAAGGAGGAAGAATAGCCCGGCAGTGACTCAGCAGCTGAGCGTCGACCTATGAACCAGGAGGTCACAGTTCGATTACCGGTCAGGGCACATGCCCGGGTTTTGGGCTCGATCCTCAGTAAGGGGCATGCAAGAGGCAGTTGAATGATGCTTCTCTCTCATCATTAATGTTCCTATCTCTCTCTCCCTCTTCCTTCTTCTTCAAAATCAATAAAAAAAAAATTAATTAAAATGTATTTAAAATTTTTAAAAAGAGGAGAAACAATAAAGCAGGGGTATTATGGGAGGAGGACAGACTTGAAATTTTTGATAGGGAGCCCAGCCAAGTCCTCACTGATAAGATAACTTGAATAAATATCTAAAGGAAATGAGAAAGCAAGCCACTCATATATCTAAGAAGAATATTCAACAGAGAAAGAACAAGAAGTGCAAAGGCCCTGAGGTGAGAGATGTCTGGCATACTTGAGGAAGACCACGGAGTCAAGTTGTCTGAAGGAAGCAGGGAAGGGGAGAGTGCTACTGGGTGGTGTCTTAGAAGTACTTGGGGGAGGGGGCACAGAGCCTTGTTGGTTAGTTAGGACTAGCTTGTATTCTACGAATGAAATGGGAAGTCATTGAAGAATGTTAGGTAAAGGAGAGATGTGTCTGACTTGCGCTATTTATGTATTTATGTCAGTCCAGACTCGTGAGTACTTAATTTATTCTGTGGATGAAAACCCGTTACGGTCTTTTTTTGTTGTTGCTCCAAGGAGCTCTGCGGAACTCACTCAGGTTGGCTCCCTGCTCTCTGTAAGTGCCCATCTTTCTATCAATTCCTGACATCCTCGTGCCTCATCACGTGTTTTCCCTGCACCAGGAACTACTTTACTTCTCAAGGAGAACAGAGGTTAGAAGCCAAGGTCCGGGCACAAGGTGTGCTCCCTGCTCCGGGGGTCCCGGCTTCCGGGCCTCGCAGGACAGAGCTAGGAAATTTGTGTAGAATGCCAATTCAGTCGTCTATACACACCTATTGTTCTGTACGTGTCTGTGTAAATAGTAAACACCATGAGTTTACATCAATCCTTCTTATTCCATTCCAACACCACACATTCGGGCCAGCCTCTCCCTATTTGTAGCTCCTTTCTCCAACACTGGAAAACCTAGCTCTCGTTACCTACCACATATTTACGTATTGTTCACTTATGTTATATCCGTAAAGCAGTTGCAAAGTTGCTAACCCACAACTGTGAGAAACTCATTTACTCCCTGATTATACCACATCCCTGCAGTTCTTTGTCGTTAGTTTTACAGTTATCCAGTCAAGATATTGTTCCCAGCCTGGCCGGCATGGCTCAGTGGTTGAGCATCAACCTATGAACCAGGAGGTTTGATTCCCGGTTAGGCCACGACCTGAGGTTGCAGATTTGATCCCTAATGTAGGGCATGCAGGAGGCAGCCAATCAATGATTCTCTTATCACTGATGTATCTATCCTTCTCTCTCTCCCTTCCTCTCTGAAATCAATAAAAATATATATTTTTAAAAAGATACTGTTTTCCAGTAACTTAGATTAGCTCTTTTCTTTCCTATCCCTCTAAGTCAGTGGTTCTCAACCTTCCTAATGCCGCGACCATTTAATACAGTTCCTCATGCTGTGGTGATCCCCAACCATAAAATTATTTTCATTGCTACTTCATAACTGTAATTTTGCTACTGTTATGAATCGTAATGTAAAAATCTGATATGCAGGATACATTTTCATTGTTACAAATTGAACATAAAGCATAGTGATTAATTACAAAAACAATATGTAATTATATATGTGTTTTCCGATGGTCTTAGGCGACCCCTGTGAAAGGGTCGTTCGATCCCAAAGGGGTCGCGACCCACAGGTTGAGAACCACTGCTTTAAGTGTAAATTTTGCTTCCCAAAATATTCTTTTTGGTTCCCCATATCCTAGGTGGTTGTAATTGCTTGTTTAGGGGTATGTGAGACATTCCTACGGCTCTAAGTCAGAGCTTTACAAAAAGATGTACCTGAGTAGTGTCTGTCTGCTATGCCAATCCATTCCCTCTTCTTTATACCCCTTTCCTGCTCATACCCACTGGGAACCAAGCTTCAGTTCTGGTTTATCCTCTGTATACCTTTCCCATAAATGAGCATATGCATGTCCATTTCCTTATATCTTTTACTTTATTGCATAAAGGGTTTCACACCATAAATGGTCTTTTGCACTTTTTTCCCCACTCAACGGTACATGCTGGAAGCCACTGTGCATCAGCTTGAAGAGCTGTGCCTGTTGTTGTTTTCAGCCGCACCATATTCCACTATATGAACCAAACCATAGTTTACGCAACCATTCTGTTATATGTGGTCATTTGGGTTGTTTTCAACATTCTGCAAATCAAACAATGCTACAACTATTAACTTTTAATAGTGCAAGTGTTTTTGCAGTAATGCAGGCACGTTTTCAATGTAGATTCCTAAAAAGGTCACAGGGTAAGTGCATATGTAGCTTGTTAGATATAGCCAAACTTTCCTCCAGAAAATTTTATCAGTTTGTATTCCCACCCACAAAGTACAGAGTGCCCATTTCCCACAGTCTCATCAACAAATGTGTTGTTATATGCTTAAATTTTTATCAGTGAGACAAACTCTTCTTAGGAAACAAAAATTTTAAAAGTTCTAACTAACTGGTCTATCCTGTGCCTATTTGATAAAGGAGAAAACAAACGCATAAAAATGGCAACAGAAGACTGACGCTACCCTGCTTTGACTGAATGCAGTGGAGAAGTAAAGGTTTGACAAAGCTGCCCCTGGTTCCTTTCTGACCTCATCTCTCCATCTATTCCCAGCATTCTGTCTGCATTCTACTTGCTTGGGCCCAGTTCACATTAATGCCTAGATGAAGTGAGAATGAATGCAGCCCGCCTGGTGTGGCTCAGTGGTTGAGCTTCAATCTGTGAAATAGGAGATCGTGGTTTGATTCCAGGTCAGGGGTCAGGGCACATGCCCAGGTTGTGGGCTCGATCCCCAGTAGGGGGCATGCAGGAAGCAGCTCATCAATGATTCTCACTCATCATTGATGTTTCATCTCTCTCTCTCTCCCTTGCTCTCTGAAATCAATAAAAATATATTAGGGGGGTGGGGGGGAGAAGAAGGAATACAGGTTTCTCATGGCCCTGATTCCTCTGTCAGGGGGAAGGCATAGCCTTAATCTCTAAATTCCATCTAAATATTAATCAGTATGCATTTAAAGAACAAGAATGGTATCTTCTGTCCAAGACAGACAGAGTGAGGCAAGCTTTCCTTTACCCTCTTTAGCGAACAGAGCTAGGAAAAATGTGTTTACACACTAACCCAGGTATATGCACATCTCTACATTTCTGTACCTGTGTAAGTACTAGAGTTCATATTGATTCCTTCAATTCCAATCTAACACCAAAAGTTCACTTTAGCTTTTGTGTGTTGCCTTTCCTATAATACAGGCAGACCTAGTTTTATTGTGCTTCATGAAACATGTTGAGTTTTCCACACATTGAAGGCAAGACCCTCCGCCAGCAAGATTACAATTCCCTTTATTGTGATACCTGCTTTACAGCAGTGGTCTGGAACCAATCCCACAATTATCTCCAAGATATGCCTATACTCTTCAATGTCACAAAACTACTTGCGAGTTCACAGAAAAAAATAGCTCACTGATCTATCATAGTCTTGATCTGGCCACCTAAGTATTTCAAACAGTAGATAGAATTCACTATTATGCATCACATTGTTCAAACTTTGATAACATAGCACTCAAAAGTAATGTCACACTAACAAAGCAAGCACTCTTACTTGACTAATCTTGAGGTGAGAGTTACTTATCCATGTAAACCATTGTGATAATCTGAGTAAAGCTAATATTAAAATTGGATTGGATTATTACTTGAATCTAAGTCCTTACACTTTTGGAAGTTTTAATTATATTCAACCTATCAAAGACCCTATAATTTCTATGTTCAAAATTTCCATTTTTAATATTTCTTTGGAAGAGCTATTCACTTCGCCGAAATATACTTGTCAAAAACCAAAGAGAATTTGTAGGCAGCAAAGCAATTTCACTTCACGGGGTTTGTTGTCTTTATAGAGGGAGGGGAATGTTGCATTTATTTCTCTACTTGTTTCACAATGAAAGCTCTGAAAGATGGCAGACTATGGACATGATGTTACTTGGGGACAGTGCCAACTTAGCTGAAAAGGAATATTTTTATCAATTTTTAAAACATCAAACAGGGCTAGTCTACATTGTGGACTAAAGACCTGCCAAATCTGATCTCTGTTAGGTTAAATCTTCACCAAATAATTTTGTCTTAAAAAGTAACCACATGGCCTGGTGACAAGCGTGGCTCAGTGATTGAGCATCCACCTATGAACCAGGAGGTCACAGTTCAATTCCCGGTCAGGGCAAATGCCCAGGTTGTGGGCTCGATCCCCCATGTGGGGCATGCAGGAGGTAGCCAATCAATGATTCTCTCTCATCACTGATGTTTCTATCTCTCTCCCCTTCTCCCTTCCTTTCTGAAATCAATAAAAATATTTTTTTAAAAATGTAACCACATGGATTTAGAAGTTTAGTCACTAACTCTCATTTCTAAACATCTTAACTTCTGTTTTAAATGTAAAATATGTATCTTAAAAAGTTACATGTATTGCATAACTTAACATACTATGTTTCAGTGGTTTGCATAAACAACTCTTGGATACAAATTAATCATTTCCTATTTTAAGGGTTTTTGCATGACAGTAATCATTTAATAAATAATTCTTACAAGTGAGCTTCTATGTTGACTACAGGAAATGTTACAAAGCTGTGCTTAAATGTCTGTTTCTTCTACTTACCTCTGTGCTCCCTGAGACAACAGCTTTGTCCACATTCACTGATAACGGTTCTTCCATCTGGCACACTCCCAGTGACCACTCCACACAGCGGTGATGAGCCCAACAAGTGCCTGAGATCATTGAAGTGAAAACGAGCATATGAATAAAATTAACAATAGGAACACTAATAAGGAAAGACATAAAACCCCCAAATCCACTCTAAGGTGCAAATCACAAAAAAGGCGCTAAAGCAGCCCTTCTCAAAACATGGTCCTGTACCAACTGGGAACTTGTCAGAAATACAAAATTTCAGACCCCAACAAACACCCATGGAACAAAAACTCTTACAGTGGTGCCAGAAATTAATGTTTCAACAAGCCCTCCAGGTGATTTTGATGAACACAAAAGACTGAGAATCACTGAATTAGAAATTATTTCTCCAACAACAACAAAAATCAGTTTTTAGTCATTTTGTTTAAAAACTAGAGGCTCGGTGCACAAATTCGTGCACCAGTGGGGTCCCTCTGCCTGGCCTACGGGATCAGGCCAAAACCAGCTCTCCGACATCCCCCGAGGGGTCCCAGATAGCAGGAGGGTGCAGGCCAGGCTGAGGGACCCCATCGGTGCACGACTGGAGCCAGGAAGGTTGGCCAGCCGGGGAAGGATCGTGGGAGGGCTCCAGGGCATGTCCGGCCCATCTTGCTCAGTCCTGATCAGCCGGACCCCATCAGCAAGCTAACCAATTAGTCGGAGCATCTGCCCCCTGGTGGTCAGTGCATTTCATGGCGACTGGTTGACTGGTCAACTGTCTGCCCCCTGGCGGTCAGTGTACATTACAGTGAGCGGTTGAGCGGCCTTAGCATATCATTAGCATATTACTCTTTGATTGGTTGAATGGGTGAACAGACGGACACTTAGCATATTAGGCATTATTATATAGGACTAGAGGCTGGTGCATGAATTCGTACACAGGTGGGGGGTCCCTTGGCCTGGCCGACAATCAGGACCATCTCACCCAGTCCCAATCGGGGCTGATAGGGGCTGGCCGGCCAGAGGGAGGAACTGCGAAGGTCTGCTGCTGGAGGGCTACTGGCCAGCAGCAGGAGGTTGGCTGTGGGAGCACACTGACTATCAGGGGGCAGCTCCTGCATTGAGCATCTGCCCCCGGTGGCCAGTGCGCCTCATAGCTACTGGCCAGTCGTCTGGTCGTCCGGTCGTAACAGTGACTTAGGCTTTTATTTAGATTACTGGAAGATATTTTATTTGGAATCTTACACATCTTACCTAATAATAGACAAACAGGTAAATTGACCGGCCCTCCGCTACACTCAGCAGCCAATCAGGACAGTATGCAAATTAACCCAATAAAGATGGTGGTTAACTTGCATATGTAGGCACCCAGCGGCCTGGGTCCTGGGAAACTCATCGGGCACACAAGTCACTCCGAGGTAGGCCCCTTGTGAGCCCTGAGCAGCCTAGGAAGGGCCTGAGCCAGGGGGCTCCTGGGCAGAACCTGAACCTGCGATCAGAGCCGAGGGGGCCCCTGCCCAGTCCTAAAGCCTCAGCCAGAGGCGTTAGGTGTGGGCAGAGGTGGAGCCGGCGATCAGAGGGAGCTAGGGGTCCCCTGTCCAGGCTGAAAGCCCTGGCCAGAGGCCTTAGGCCTGGGCAGGAGCAGAGCCGGCAATCGGTGGGAGCAGGGGCAGAGCTAGCAATCGTAGGGAGCTGGGGATCCCCTGCCCAGGCCCCAAGGCTGTAGGCCTGGGCAGGGGCTGAGCCAGTGATCAGTGTGAACTACAGAGGAAACACCTTTTCTGACCGCTCATTGGCTAAGCTCCCTGTATGCCACTGGTAATATTCTTAGCAACTTGGGTAATAAGAATCCAAGAAGGTGATCTGGGGTTTTTCCACTACACTCCTGGAGAAAAAAAACGAAGGTCCACTGCTGGAGGGTTAAGAAATGTCATATCCTGCCCTAGCTGGTTTTGCTGAGTGGATAATGCCTTGGCCTGCCCACTGCTGGGTCTTGGTTCAATTCTGGCTAAGGGATGTACCTAGGTTGCAGGCTCCTCCCTGACTTGGATTCAGGTCAGAGCTCATGCAGGAGGCAACCAATCAGAGTGTTCCTTTCACTTTGCTGTTTCTCTCTGTCTTTCCCTTTCTCTTCTACATTCTCTAAAAATCAATGGAAACATATCCTCAGGTGAGAGAAAAAGAAGAAAGAAAGGAAAGAAAGGAAAGAAAGGAAAGAAAGAAAGAAAGGTCATATACTACACACACACACACACACACACACACACACACACACCAGTGCATGAATTTCGAATATATATAAAAGCCTAAGCGACCGACCATCCAACCGGTACCTATGACACACCTTGGCCACCAGGGGCAGTCACTCCGACCGGTAGCTGTAACATGCAATGACCACTAGGGGGCAGACACTCAGCACAGGAGCTGCCGTGCTGTGGTGACTTGGCAGCTGCAGTTCTTGGGTGATGCACCCAGAACCAAAGAGGCAGGAGACCGATTCTGGGTCCCCTCAGGGGATGTCAGAGGGCCAGTTTCAGCCCGATCCCCATAGGCCAAGCCAAGGGACCCCCACCTTTATGCACAAATCCATGCACCGGGCCTCCAGTAAAATATAAAGGACATAATTTAATACTCTGTTTATGACAAACAGGCTATATTGCAAATAGGCTACAATATACCAGTACACCTCTATTTTGCTCTATCGCACACCCACCAAGAGTCCACGTCATCACTGATAACAGCTCAGTCATTAAATTCTCTATCACAGAGCACTTGAGCCACTATCAATAAGCAGTTCATCTATGGAATAAACTTTACTCAAAACTCCAGCAGCACCACTTCATGAGTACGCATTACTATTCTGTTATAATGGGATACCCACATGGCTAAGAACTAATGTTCTTTACCCCTACAGTAAATATACCACACTGCCATGTTCCCCATGTTCTCACAGATCCCTTTAAAATGTCCTGTTTTCAACTGTCAGATCACCATGGCATTGCTGCCTATACAAAAGTAAATACAAATATTTATGAAAGCATCCAATCTAGGGTTAGCTCTGCGCAGATGCTAACTAAATTAGCTCAACATAATTAGACAATGTATTTTACCTAAGTAGGCATACTTAACAATGGCATTTTTTACAATGTGAAAGGTATTTATTATGAAGTTGGCAATTCACTAAAATTAAGACACTTAAAGAATCAAGAGGTAATTATGATTGAAGACCAGCTCCTACCTGTAGGATCAAATAAGGCTTGGACATCAATGGCATCGGGAAGACCGACAAGACTGAGCTCATCCCATAACTGAGTAACCTGGTCATCAGAAGCAGTCTGAGTGCTCACACTCACACACGACACTGTATTCTGCTGAGGAGACCGTTCTCTGGGGAAATAAAATAAAACTGATGTGGAAGTGGTAACAACAAAAATGTTTCGTTTTACAAGTTAAATATCACGTATTGCCAGGTCATCTTTAATTTATTAGGCATAAGCTGTCATAAAACAACTTTTAGAACACATCTGTTACCATTTATACATAGTATAAAACGTTGTGTCATGTAAGCAACAACTAAATAAGTCTCTAAATCAGTAAGAAATGTCAAAATTAGAGTTTCGAATTTATTTTGCTATTCTATAATTTTTCTTTTTAACTTGAGCTCCAAAATTCTTATCAGGAGCCATATTTTATCATATAAAGTGAATATTCTCCTTGGTCTTTCTTTAATGCTTATAAAACTTAACTCATTCAAATCAGAAATTTGTTTTTTGTAAGTGAGGACTACAACCGCAGAGCTGGCAGTTGTTTACGTAAAGAAAGGTTATTTCTCAGGGGAAATGAGAACGCACTACGTGTGAAGAGGGAGGCGTGGGAGCAGAACGTGTCAGCTGGAGCTGCTTATGGTCCCCTCGACAAATCTCGGCAGCTGGTCCGCCGCAGGATGTTGCAGGTTCTCTCTACCAAGACTGCACCTCACAAGTCAGAAGTAAAAAAGCAAAAGCAAAATACTTCCAAGCAGCTGACCCGGGTAAAAAAAAAAAAAAAAATAGCCACCAGTGGGTTAGGGGCAAGGAAGAAGATGATATAACAGCAAAAACCAGAGTATACAAATGAACACTGAATAAGGTATACAATGGGAGATTTCAGACTTCCAAGGCCCTTCAACTTCAGGTATTAATTAAGATAATTACGTAAATAACGACTGCTATTGCATTTAAACATGAAGCATGGCCAACCAGGTAGCTGTCAGTAAAACGTTAATGTCTCCTGAGGGCACAGTATTTAACCTACCATCTGGATTAAATGCTTACAGAATTACACACTATTGAATATAGATCACAACTCACTGCACTTCTGTCTGCTGGGTATTTATCATGATTCCTATTAAGAGAATATCGGCACAATGACCAGGGTACTAAACTTTTTATACCTGGAATCATTGAAAGAAAAGAAAGTATTAACATATTTCAATAAGTACATTTAAATATCAAACCATGTAAAAATAACCAATATGTTTTATGTTCAGCATTAGAAATTCATACTTATTTTTTATAAAGTTTAGCATGCTATGCTATCTTTAAATTCTCATTTTTCTAAATGTCCACAGTAAAATGAAAACAAACTCTTTCCTATAAATATAATCTCCATTCCTACAAATATAGTTTTCATTATTAATCATTATTATTTTATTGGGAGGGGGGAAAATTAATAGCCCATTTATAAAGACTAATGTACCATTTTTAACATATTTCCTTTGTACCAGTATTTTATGGGAGGATAGGTATAAAAATCAATGGGATGGCTAACCAGTCTATTACTAACCAGTTCCTAACCCAGGGCTTAATCAAATTTCCCCTTCGGTTTGTACATATGCATCACATCAGTAAGATGCCAATGTCAACCCTAAAGATGACAGCAACCCTCCTTAGGAAAGAACATCAAGAGAAGCCAGATGAAGAACATACCCCCAAAATTTTAAGTCTAAACAAAAGGAAAGAAGAAATAAACCCTTGATTATATAGTCTTCCATTTAGCAAACCAAGAAGAAAGAACTATTTTAAAACCTCCTTTACAAATTTAAAAAACAACTACCTGTTCACCTAATTTATAGCCCATTAGTAACATATTCTGTAAATATTTAAAATTACTACCAACCTAAATTAATTGTTTACTCTTAAATAATTTCCAAATTTTATAATAAATGTGCTTTTATTCCTAAGATCCACTAACTGGCTTATTACCGTTACTTAATAACTTGGTAAACACTAGGTGTGTATAAAGACTTTCATTAAACCAAGGAAAGCTATTTTTACATACTGAACATCTTAGCTCATAAACACTTTCACTAAAAATTAGCTTATAAAATAAGTAAGTTATGAAGCCCAACTGTATTTCCCAGAACAGGTGTTGATATAATTGCCATTATTCAAAGCAGAACATGAAGATATAAGATATAACCTGGTCCAATCCATAAATTTGTATTATTGATGGACGGTGTAATGAGGGGATGGGTATAAAAACCAATGGAATGGATAACCAGTCTATTACTAACCAGTCCTAACCAGTGGCTCAATCGAATTTACCTGTCAGGTTTTAAGATGCTAATGTCAACCCTGAAGACAGCAGCCCTTCTTAGGATTACAGCAGTCCTCCTTAGGATAAAACCACTCATTTTATCACAATGGGAAAGCTCGTGTGTGATTAAAATATCAGGACTCCAGATACAGTACTTCTAAACCTCCTTAAACTGTTCCACCTTAAATTCTTTTAAAAGATTCTCTCTTGTGATTGTTTCATTTCCTACTTCAGGTCTTCAAGGCATTGGCAGCAGTCCAAAAGAAGGAACCAATCAAATAGGTACAACACAACAATGCCTTAGAACTTAACTCTGGAGAGAAGCCAGATAAGCACTTGGATGACATCATCACCCTCCAGGGGCAGAACTGGGGAGCTTTCCAAGCTAACTTAATTTTACACTTTCTCGTGGACCTCAGAAAATTTTGTTCTCTCGACTACCAAAGCCAAATCCACAGATTAATAAAATGGCCTTTAACCAAAACTCTACAACATATAAAGAGATTTTTATGATTTGTCTAAACATATTAGACAAGTTTTTAATATAAATATAGAGATATACAAATACCTTAGTAAATTCTTGTTTCGTTTAAAAAAAAAAAAAGACATCTTTAACTTCAGAAAGGGCATTCTCAGCATATAATTAAGTACTTAGAGAGAAAGTCCACACTATATTGTAATAAGAGTTTACAAGACAGTTCAACATTCTCTGAACCATAAAAATAAATCAATAAATGGCACATAAAGAGCATTAGTGAAACCCTAACTGGTTTGGCTCAGTGGATAGAGCGTCAGCCTGCAGACTCAAGGGTCCCAGGTTCGAGTCTGGTCAAGAGCATGTATCTTTGGTTGCGGGCACATCCCCAGGAGGGAGTGTGCAGGAGGCAGCTGATAGATGTTTCTCTCTCATCAATGTTTCTAACTCTCTATCCCTCTCCCTTCCTCTCTGTAAAAAAAACCGATAAAAAATATTTTTTAAAAAAAAGAACATTAGTGAAAAACACTTTGATTTTGCTGTTCTCTTATTATATTCTTACAAACCATTAAAAACTTACTTAGAGGAAGGAAAGACTTCACTAATTTTTTTTACCTTCTTTTCCATTTACGTTATGTTCTTTAAAGTTCTCTTCCACAAGTTAACTTTTGTGATCACACTGATTTTGTTAATATACAGTTAAGATAGCAAATTTTTAAAAATAAGAAAGAAATTTTGAGAAAAGTAGTGTTTTTTGGGTTAATGCTGAGTCATAGAGCACCCTATGAAAGTTGAAAACATGAGAAACTGTTCATTAACACCATTTATACAGTCACAAACAATGCAATAAAGATAAGCTATATACTCATAATGCATCCCAGCCATTTAAATTAAAATTGCTTATTTTTGCCCTAGCCAATTTGGCTCAGTGGTTGGAACATCAGCCCTTGGACTGAAGAGTCCCAGGTTCTATTCCAGTCAAGGGCACATACCTCGGTTGCAGGCTGGATCCCTCTGGCCCCTGTAGGGGCGCGTGTGGGAGGCAACCAATTGATGTGTCCCTCTCACATCCATGTTTCTCTCTCTGTGTCTCTCCCTGTCCCTTCCACTCTCTCTAAAAATTAATGGGAAAAATATATCCACGGGTGAGGCTTAACAAAACAAAAACAAAAAATTGCTTACTTTCTCTGTCCTCTATGTTTTCGCGGTGCTGAGTTTTGAATTTTCTCACAGGTCCCATTGCTGTTGTCATCAATGTCCTTCTTGCTAGAAGGTTGGTTTTTCCACGGCAAGATAAATCCAGGTGTTACTCTAAATTGTCTTAAGTCTCCTTGTCCTAAGGAACTTTTTTCACCACAGTAACAAAAAGCACAGAGCTGTTCACTGGTAGAAATAAAAGTAAGGGAAACAAAGAAAGAGAAATTTAATTTTTCAAAGTGACAGCTACAGACAGCTGTGCTTTAAAATTAAATTGTTTTTAGTGTAAGACAAGACATTTTTAAATGCTAGTATGGTAACAATTATACATTTGCAATTCTACTTTTCCACAGCATGATTTTTTTAAAATAACAAACATACCAAATCAAAAAATTATAGTGTTTACTTAGAAACACGATTTTCTTTTAAATCTGATTCAAGAAACTCAAAGTATTAACAAGAATAGCGAAAGTAAAGCTAAGACTGGGAAAGAGGATAGTGTTTAATGGCCACACAATTACATACCAGGTTTGTAAACAAGTGGTGACAAAGTTTTTATTAACCGCCTGATAGGACGTTCTTTATGCACCATACATTACCACACACACAGATACAGGGAGAAACATGAAGACATAAATGTAAGTTGTTTCGGGGCTGGACAGCTAACGAAGGGAGGAGCGAAAGGGGTTCCACAGGAATGGGAAAGGATGAAGAAGTGGAGCAAGGACTGGGAGAGCAGAGAAACTGTTTCCTAGGACACACTAATGACAGGTACCTGAATTATGCAATTATGAAAACTATGTAACACAAAGATTGAAGCCTAGTGTAAACTATGCACTTTAGTTAATAATAATATATCACAACTGGGGTATCAGTTGTAACAAATGCCCCACACTCATGCGCAATGCTAACAGGGGAAACAGAGGCGGGAGAAGGCTGGCACCGGAACTCTCTGCATCCGCTTGATTTTTCTGTATACCTGAAATTGTCCTAAACAATAAAATCTATTAATTTTTTTAAAGAAACTATTTTAAAAGTTAAAGGACAAGAACAATATATGCTTGTGGAATATATGCTTAATGAGGGACCTTAGAAAGAACAGAATAAAAAGTACTGTCTCTCTTGGATATATTTCTTTTCACAGCTCATTTGCAATAGCTGCACCCAAATCTTTCTTCCCATGAATCAGTTTCCACCATCACCTCTGCCGTATCTACCCCACGAACGTCATAATGTCTTGCATTAACAGGTGATAGAAATAGTCTATAATCTCTTTTAGGTAATTTTTTTATTTGAAGATCTAATTGGCTTTATTAAGTGATTTATGAACGGGCAGTATCCCATCTATCAACTAGAAGGGGCTCTAAATAATTTTTTTTAATGTAAGTTAAATTCATATAGGGTCTCTCTCAACTAATTTCCTTTTGTTTATTAAAGTTGACTACTTACGTTTTTCCAATATTACCTATTTCAATTTAATGATAAATGTGTTGCCCCTGGATACACACACACACTTAAATGTGGTCTACTTTCAGAGTAGACTCAAATAGAAAAAGAAAAATTTTTTCTTGCCTTCCTTTGCCAGTGTTGTATTAATTTTGTAGCTTTCTGTGTGTAATTCTCTCTGCACTAGTAAGCTGACATTTCTCTCCGCATACCTAGTTTCTGGCTTGTCTCTCTCCCCTGGAAACATTAGCTAGGAGCAGCAACAGTCGGGCTGACACCAGCCTCACTGACAACACTGATTAGAAAGCCAACCAATATTTTTGAAGTATTAATAGAAAATATCTTAATCTTCCATTTCATATCCAAAACCATCACTCAAATGTAAAAGTGTTGCTTTGGCCAGTGCGCTAAATGGTTAGAGCACTGGCCCATGCACCAAAGGGTCATGGGTTCGATTCCTGGTCAAGGGCACATACCTGGGGTTACAGATTCGATCCCTGGCCCTAGTCAGGGTACTAGGAGGCAACCAATTCGATGTGTCCCTCTCATATCCAGGTTCTCTCTCTCTCTCTCTCTCTCTCTCTCTCTCTCTCTCTCCCTCCCTCCCTCCCTCCCTCCTTCCTTCCTTCCCCCCTTACTACCACCCTCCCCACTTCTACTCTCTCTAAAAATCAATGAGAAAATAGGTCAGGATTAACAACAACAAAAATGAAGGCGTAATAAAATCATTCCTAGGCTTATAAGATCTCAGAAATTTTACCATACAATAGGCCCACATGAAAATATTTTTAGTGAAGTACTCAAATTATTGAAGCATTAGGAAAGGTTGTAAGAGATGTAGAAAGAAAGTTGAACATCTCAGAGTAATTTGTTACTTTGGGGGTCACAGGGGGAACCCCTGGTCTCCACTTTTAGAAAGCTGCAGAGCATTGCTCCCTCCTTGCCACCAACACTCGCCAGACAATCTACAAGCTCACTTCTCTTGGCCCCATCAGACTGCAGGAGGTGTAGGGCCACCAATTCACCTGCAACTGAAGGACAGTCATTTCCATAAGGTAATGAGATACACGCACCTGCTGCAGCTGGGGAAGAGGCCGCCTTATGTCTTACAAGCAAGATAAGAAGAACTCAGTAAAAAAAATTAAGAAACTGATGAAGGCTGAGTGTCAGAGTGTAAAACATCCATGACCCACAGACACAAGAGGAATCTGTCTGTGGACCTCCCAGGTGCCCATGTGCAAGGGACAGAGTCCCATGGATGTGCCAGTCATGGTCCTAGCTAGGGGAGGGGAATCTGGGAAGTCACAAAGATTCACCCAGATTGTCTCTCCCATTTTTCCTGGGAAACAAAAACCTTAGTCTGGTGGGGGGGACAGCAAAAATCACCATGCTGCAATGGTGACAACCAACTGTGGATGGAGGAATAGAATTAGAGGGATGGACTTTTAACCCTGGACAAGGAGCAAGACTACATCCTGGACCCAGGTCTCCCACAGCTGAGGCAATGGCATGACCACTGAGAATACCAATCCCTGAAACCTAAGGCACTGTGCCTACCTAAGAATCAATTTGAATCGGAACAAGAAGCATCCTTCCTACCCACTCTCCAGTGGAACTCTCACACATCACTGGTGGGAGCACAAAACAGTACAGTGCACGAGGAAACATGTTGGTGTTTTCCTTAAAAATGATCTCTTTCCCAGGCATTTACCCAAATGACATAAAAACCCTATGTTCACATCAAAACCTAGAAGAGACTATTTACACCAATCTACACTAATAAAAGAGAAACATGGTAATTGGTGTACAACCGCTACCCTTTTCATTGGCTGATTGAGATATGCAAATTAACTGTCAGCGAAGATGGCAGCCAGCAGCCAGGCAGCTTGAAACTAACATGAGGCTTGCTTGCCTCAGTGACGGAGGACTCCAAC